ATCAATCACACTGTCAATGCATATCAGTATTAGTATGAATCACACTATCTACGCAGATCAGTATTAGTATGAATAAGTGTTTCTGCAGATAAGTGTTACTATCAATCACACTGTCAATGCATATCAGTATTAGTGTGAATCACACTGTCTACGCAGATAAGTATTAGTATGAATAAGTGTCTGCAGATAAGTGTTACTATTAATCACACTGTCGATGCATATCAGTATTAGTATAAATCACACTGTCTACGCAGATCAGTATTAGTATGAATAAGTGTTTCTGCAGATAAGTGTTACTATTAATCACACTGTTAATGCAGATCAGTATTAATATGAATCACACTGTCAATGCATATCAGTATTAGTATGAATCACACTGTCTACGCAGATCAGTATTAGTATGAATAAGTGTTTCTGCAGATAAGTGTTACTATTAATCACACTGTCGATGCATATCAGTATTAGTATAAATCACACTGTCTACGCAGATCAGTATTAGTATGAATAAGTGTTTCTGCAGATAAGTGTTACTATTAATCACACTGTTAATGCAGATCAGTATTAATATGAATCACACTGTCAATGCATATCAGTATTAGTATGAATCACACTGTCTACGCAGATCAGTATTAGTATGAATAAGTGTTTTTGCAGATAAGTGTTACTATTAATCACACTGTCAATGCAGATAAGTGTTACTATTAATCACACTGTCAATGCAGATCAGTATTACTATGAATCACACTGTCAATGCATATCAGTATTAGTATGAATCACACTGTCTACGCAGATCAGTATTAGTATGAATAAGTGTCTCTGCAGATCAGTGTTACTAAGAATCACACTGTCAATGCAGATTAGAATTACTATCAATCACACTGTCAATGCATATCAGTATTAGTATGAATCACACTATCTACGCAGATCAGTATTAGTATGAATAAGTGTTTCTGCAGATAAGTGTTACTATTAATCACACTGTCAATGCAGATCAGTATTACTATAAATCACACTGTCTACGCAGATCAGTATTAGTATGAATAAGTGTTTCTGCAGATAAGTGTTACTATTAATCACACTGTCAATGCAGATCAGTATTAATATGAATCGCAGTTTCTGTGCAGATCTGTATTGCTGTGAATCTCACACCTTTTACAGCACACATTTTGATAGCGAATTTACCAAGCAAATTAGATTTTGTTGAAATTTTATGCTTTCTGAAGTTATATGATGAAAATTTAAATGTTTATCTGAATAGTTGAGTAGTAACTGTGGTTTGATATCAGATTAATATTTGTAGCTATCATTTCGTAAGCGCCATGTTAGACTAAGAATATGAAAATAAAAATAAAAACGTGTGGAAGTTAATCTTAAGAAATGATCTGATTGTCGTGCTGTGTAAAATTTAATGTTTATATCCATCATTGTTGGTAGTGATTCTGGTGTTTGAATTATGTGTCGAATATGATTCATGTTAAACATAGCGCTAAAGAAATATCAAGATTAGCAATGTATTTATGATCATTGCAAATTTCTGCACTTTTTGATGAAGTTCAAAAAGTTCAAAACTTCATATATCTGGCCATCCTATTCGAAAAGAAAAGGCACAATTTACATTATCGTCAATGTTACATGTATTTGACAATGTATTGTATCGTCGCTGGTCTGGAAAAGCAGTAATAATTTTCAGATTTTTCAGTCCTCCAAGCTTCATACGAAATCGACTGATTCGACATCAAGTCAATATCCAGAAACGGAATAAAGCCCAAAGGAAAAAGGACAGATCTATTCAACATCTGCTCATAATTACTTTGTCATGGTGATTGTTGGAATAAACATAAATATTTTTCTTGTAATTTGCAAGTTCAGTCATTAACATTCATATAGAATTATAATTCCAAAACATATCAGGGTTTTCTCCAAAGTTTAACATTTTGTTGAATAAAATCGTATTCATATATTAACCTGTCATGTTTGTAAACAACAATTATTGTCAAGCAAATTGTATACTTTTAAATCACTTACTAAATTATATGCAAAAGTATCTCAATCAGAAATTCATAGATAAAAACATCTTTTTATTTAATTAGAAATTTGTAACACATTCTCTTGGTTCCAACATTTATAGTCAACAAAACTGTGTACATTAAGATTTCGAAGGTGAAATTTCCTTGTGTAGTTGTTAGATCCATCGCCTCTCTCATTCTTACTGATTTTATTAATTTTGGATCTTACTTAGACAATCTTTAATCCCTGTGTTAAATTTGACAAGTTCCGAAATTCTGAAAACGCCAACTTTGTTTATATTGCAAGTTAGGCACTTGTAAGTATTTTGGTAAACAAAGCACGGATTGGTGAGCATTCCAATTGATCATCCAATCAGAAACCATCTTGCTGTATGAATATGACACATTACATAAAATCATCCATTAACGCGGGCTCTCATCTGTATTGCTGAATTTACTAAAATATATGATTCTAATCTTCGACTCTCTGTTCAGACTACAAGAGTATCGACTATTCATCATCATAATTTGATGTTAAAGAGAGACTAGAATTAAACATTTGTTTGTTTCTCCATAAAATCTAACAAAAAACAAAATGAATTGAGCATGCTATTATTTGATTGTATTTTACTGGGTTTATGTGCATATACTATTTTCAGAACTTTTACATTTCACATGGTATTTAGGTAGGCTTTTTTCACTGTCTTTCAAATGTGTGTCTACTGTTGTTTGGTCTTTAGTCAGTTTAGATGGGCCTTCTTCCGTAAATCTGTAACGAAAGAAGTGAGTTTTAAGTTACATAACGTCATCGGCAGCCATTTCTGATTACAGTTTGATGTATTTTACTATTGATTGTTTGAAGAAAAAGACTAAATTCAATGTGAAGAAACACTCATTTAATAGCATAATGCTATTTTATTGAGATTCGCTTCGATGAATTTATTTCAAATCGTTATACTTCCGAAAAAAGTGTAAAAGCAACTATCTGATAACAATGTTATTAATCATCTTTGCATACTATTTCAGTATCATCAGCTCTATACACTGTGTCAAAACCATCACCATGATCAGCGTGTTTACCCATGTAAACTTCAGTATTTCTACGCATAATAAATTCCCATGTCTTAGCAAGAATATGGGAAACAACATCCAGTAGAAATCAAGATATCTGTGACTAAAACTTGCATTTCGGAATTTTGTGCTATCTAACCAAACTTGGATTATTTTTCTTTTGTAAATTTCAAGCACTGTATAACCTGCGCAGTGAATTGAATAACTGATATGCATGACAAGACCGGCATTCTATAGGGCTTTTATAATATGCCTTATACAGGACTTGTATAGATTTATCTACTATCGGTTTAGAAGGAGTCTATGTTCTGTACAAAACCCAATAAAAGGCCCCGTAAACGGCTCTGCTATATTATGGTATGGGTTGTTTTCTGTGTATCACATTTATCTGATTAACTTTTTAATTATATGCTCGTTTTCTTACACTATCTAAGGCTTAATTATCTTAACAAAAACACACGACAAGAAGCAATGTAACTGAATGTATGCCGTATTCCTAACTAACTACACAAGCGCAGATTCACAACAACAACATTATTAATGCGCAAATAACTCCGATCAAATAAATTTAAACTTAGTCTAGACATAAATTTCGAAAAAATGGCATTTTGGTCTACTTAAAATTGAAATTTGGTGTGATATTGTGAATAAATGAGCATTGCAAAAAATTTTCAATTAGATTTGGAATGGATAGATTTTTGTATTCTTTTTGATTCTACGAAATGTTGTGAGTATGGGCTGGATTTATCGGTGCCAATTCTATATGAAATACACGGATTGAAGCAGCGACGGAGAAGCAGTAGTAAGGGAAAAGGCTAATTCTAGCTCAACGACTCCTATCCCACAGGTAAGCTCTGTCATACAGAGGTGACGAATTTTGTTTAGGGAAAAGGCTAATTCTAGCTCAACGACTCCTATCCCACAGGTAAGCTCTGTCATACAGAGGTGACGAATTTGTTAGAACAGCACATGCGTTGAATATGATTATTCTAAAGACGGCAAATGGGTTTTATAATCAGTCTACCTGTGGGATAGGAGTCGTTGAGCTAGAATCAGCCTTTTCCCTTACTACTGAAGCGTCTTGACATCTTCAAGTGTGTTTCTGTTCTGTCATTGAATGTTTAAAATCATAATGTGGAAAAAATATTAAGTACTTCAATTGCAATTATCAAAATGACGCTATGGAATATAATGTTTTTTATATTTTTATTTTGAGTGCAGTAAGGATTATATAATTGCACTTGGAATGTTGTCGAGATTACATTACAATTTCGAAATGTGTAATCAAGCTTGAGAACCCATGTGATGGCTCATATAATTCGGATTTGCAGAACAAAGAAAGTTCATTTTGAGGAAATTCAGGATGTAAAACTGTAAGTATATTTTTTGCCAGTCTTATTACCAGCTAAAGAAGACAATTTATGCCTTGTCACTTGCATGTTATTTTCAGAGACCCTGTTTGGCTTAAATCAAAAAAGTTAACGCGGAATGCTGCAAAGCAGCTGGTATGTGGGAGTCCACGAAACATCTGCTTTAGTTCATGCAGATACAAATTTAATCAATCGAAACGTAAAGCGTCTACTACGATAGTGCACCTGATTCGTTTACAAAGTAGTTCCTAATACACTATTTGGAACATGTGAGTTCAATATGAAGTTGCGCGAGAGTGCAATATGATGTAATTAGTGTATGATACAGTTATGATTTTTAACGTAGCTATAAAAAATTTTCAGTCATATCGCTACGATGTCTGCAGTGTAGCAATTTATATTGATATCTAGCACTGGGGCGTCATGCCGCAAACATGTTGCATGATATCCAACCCGGTCACATTATCCTGACACAAGGCCGACCAGTCCTAACACTAACTCCTTAATGCTGAGCGTCAAGCGAGGCAGCTGTTAGTACCATTTTTGTAAGTCT